GCGGGCGAGTCACAGAGAGGATGGCTGGCTGCAGTTCTCCCCGCACAGACGTTTGGCTGAGCAGTTACTTCTTCTCTTAATAATTCCAGGAATGGGCTTCGGCTTTTTTTTTCCATTTTTTTCTTTTTTTTTTTCTCTCGTTCTTTTGTTGGTTTTGTTTGTTTGTTTGTTTGTTTTCTCTCCTTTCATTCTCTCCCCCCTCCCCGGTTCTGGATTTAGTTTGTCCAGTATGGAGAAGTGCCATAGGCGGTTTTGGTAGCCTGAGACTTTTGCTGCATGGTGCTGGGTTGGTTGCGTTGGCCAGATCCACCCTGGGAATTGGAAAGGAAAGAGACAATGGACATCAGTTTCCCCAGGAAGACAAACCAGTCTGAACGTCACCTGAAGAGCTGCCACCCCCAAGGACAGCCCTGACTCCCACCAGCACAACAATGCCCCCCCTTCCCTCATTCTGCTCCTGCAATCCAGGACACACAGCAACAGAGGATGCAACACCCCAGCCCCCTGGCTCCAGGACAGCGTTGAGACTGAGGAGGAGAGGAGCACGACTGGGGACAGCAAAGGAGCTCTCAAGGTGAACATGAGGCACTGCAACAGCCAAGGAGGTCACACACTGGGGGACAGGACTTTGGTCCTATTTCTGGACTCTAAAGCAGAACACATTGGTTTTTCAGGGAATATGCACAGTGAGGAAAGGAAACACATGGGCTGGTGAAACCAAATCAGAAACTGCAGCTGACATGCAGCCTGCAGGGCGATGCTGGATTTTCCCCCAGAGTGCTCATGTCCTGCTCTCCTGCCACAGACAGAGCAGAGCAGCACCTGCCTTGGCTGCAGACCTCACAGTCCATCTCTCCACACCCCCACCAGGATGGTCTCTTCATAGAACCAGAGGCTGGATGAGTAAGGCTGGCAGGGACCTCTTCAGGTATCTTGTCCAACCCCTTTGCTGAAGCAGCATTACCTAAAGTCAGCTGCCCAGGACCATGTCCAGACACCTCCACAACCTTTCTAGGCAACCTGTGCCAGTGCTTAATTCACCATCCCAGTAAAAAATTGTTTTGTAATGCTCAGAGCGAACCTCCTGTATTCCAGTTTGTGCTCACTGCCTCTGGTCCTGTCACTGGGCACCACAGGTAAAAGCTGGTTCTGTCCCCTTTACTGTCTCCCTTCAGGTATTTACATCCATTGGGAAGATGCACCTTGACCCTTCGCTTTTCCAGGCTTAACTGTGCCCAGATTTCTCAGCCTTTTCTCGTAGGAGAGACGATCCAGTCCCTTCATCATCCTGTGACTCTCCATTACATCTGCATCTCTCTGGTACTGGAAGCCCACCCTAGCTGTGGCCTCACCAGTGCTAAGGGGAAGGATCTCCTGCCTTGACCTGCTGTCAATACCTTGCCTAATACAGCCCAGGATACCCTTGGCCTTGTCTGTGGCAAGGGCACATTGTTGGCTCCACCAGGACCCTCAGGGTCTTCTCTACCAAGCTGCTTTCACCTGCAGCATATACTGGAGAGTGGGGTTGTTCCTTCCCAAGGGTGGGACTTTGCACTTCCCCTTGCTGAACTTCATGAGGTTCCCTCCTCCAGCTAGTCAATGGCACTGAGTCTGCCAGTCTGCAATTATTGTCAAGGCCCTTTCCCAGTGAGCAAAGCAAAAACCATAAGGAAGCAAAAACCCCCAAGACCCTGCTGGGATGTGGGTGGGAGCAATCTGCTCTCAGGCATATGCTGTAGAGGCAGAAGGGGCTGACTCACCTGCCCATCTTGCTGAAGATGGTGATGCAGCATCTGGGAATGAGGCTGCTGATGTGCAGGCAGGATATGGAGAAACGGGGCTGGAGCATAACCCGGAGCAGCACCAGGGTTCAGAGGCCCAGTTGATCCAAGAGCAGAGGGCAGGCTGAAAGGAGGTGGTGTGCCAGCGTGGAATCCCTGCTTGTCAAACGTCTGCACAGGAGGAAAGGGCAACAGGGTCAGAGATTGGTGTGAGCAGCTACATAGTGACCAGACAAAAACACCCATGGCCCACACACACCACCTGAACTTTCTCCAACCCCATGAGCAAGCCAAGTCACATAAAATACCTGTGAGCACTTCAGTAGATGAGTTTCAGCTCCTGTTCTCACCCTTATTTCTGCACTAACACCTCCAGCATTTTATTTCCACAGCTACTATCTTCCTGTTCTCCCTGACCTCATGAGGGTGGACTTTACTCACTGGGACATGGGATGGCAACAGCTGCCTGAAATCAGTCCTTCCCACATTGTGGGGGCTCAGCCTGGAATTACTCAACCTATCCAGGGCAGCCAAAAAAACCACAAGAACTTGCAATAAGATTTTCTTCCTCCCCGTGGCCAAAGCTTGACCTCTCAGGCTAAGCACATAAGCTGAGAGCTGGCTTCCTATCTGTAAGCACAGATCATAGCCAGACTCAGACTTCCCCAGCTGGGGGTGCAAGAATGGGAAAAAAAGAGCTGGATGTAAATCCGCTGCACACCAGAGCATGTCCAAGCACTTTCTGCATTTCCTGGGAAATGGTACACTGAGCAACAGACTGAGGAGAGCATGGAACCAGCCTCTTTGCAAAAGGCAGCCTAAGGAATGTCATGTCCTGCTGACCCTGAGAAGGAACAGCCCCTGTCTCCAGTGCTCTGCTCACCTGAGTCTTGTTATAGACTGAGCCACTGATATCAGGCACACCTGTGTTACTGCTGGGATGTGGGTGGGAGCAATCTGCTCTCAGGCATATGCTGTAGAGGCAGAAGGGGCTGACTCACCTGCCCATCTTGCTGAAGATGGTGATGCAGCATCTGGGAATGAGGCTGCTGATGTGCAGGCAGGATATGGAGAAACGGGGCTGGAGCATAACCCGGAGCAGCACCAGGGTTCAGAGGCCCAGTTGATCCAAGAGCAGAGGGCAGGCTGAAAGGAGGTGGTGTGCCAGCGTGGAATCCCTGCTTGTCAAACGTCTGCACAGGAGGAAAGGGCAACAGGGTCAGAGATTGGTGTGAGCAGCTACATAGTGACCAGACAAAAACACCCATGGCCCACACACACCACCTGAACTTTCTCCAACCCCATGAGCAAGCCAAGTCACATAAAATACCTGTGAGCACTTCAGTAGATGAGTTTCAGCTCCTGTTCTCACCCTTATTTCTGCACTAACACCTCCAGCATTTTATTTCCACAGCTACTATCTTCCTGTTCTCCCTGACCTCATGAGGGTGGACTTTACTCACTGGGACATGGGATGGCAACAGCTGCCTGAAATCAGTCCTTCCCACATTGTGGGGGCTCAGCCTGGAATTACTCAACCTATCCAGGGCAGCCAAAAAAACCACAAGAACTTGCAATAAGATTTTCTTCCTCCCCGTGGCCAAAGCTTGACCTCTCAGGCTAAGCACATAAGCTGAGAGCTGGCTTCCTATCTGTAAGCACAGATCATAGCCAGACTCAGACTTCCCCAGCTGGGGGTGCAAGAATGGGAAAAAAAGAGCTGGATGTAAATCCGCTGCACACCAGAGCATGTCCAAGCACTTTCTGCATTTCCTGGGAAATGGTACACTGAGCAACAGACTGAGGAGAGCATGGAACCAGCCTCTTTGCAAAAGGCAGCCTAAGGAATGTCATGTCCTGCTGACCCTGAGAAGGAACAGCCCCTGTCTCCAGTGCTCTGCTCACCTGAGTCTTGTTATAGACTGAGCCACTGATATCAGGCACACCTGTGTTACTTGAGGTCACAGAAACACCTGGAAAACAAAAAAAGCCACTGACAATGAGAAAGACAACCATCACACACCCATCAACCAGGGGGGGTTTCTCCATGTTCTCAGCCCCACGACACCCCACAGGAAAACGGAAGAAGGGGCTCAGTTCCTCACTCCCACTGCAAAGCAGATCAGCCTGTTGGAATAAATCATCCACATCCAGTCGTTACCACTTGGATTGAAATGCACTTCACCAGGCAGCAGCTCCCAAAAAAACAGCTTTCCCCTAGGATTAGGGATGCATTTGGCTCTACTGCAGCATTCAAGAGCTTTCCAGTACTGAGCTGAGCAAAGAGACTCAGCATCTGCCACATGTTTGAGCTCTTGTCCTAACACATGCTGCAGAAGGGTGAGATCTGCAATGCTCCTCTGCCCCCAGAGAATAAGTACCACTGATTCAGGCTTTTTCCACCTGGTGCCACCACAGGCTCAAGAAACAGTCACCTGCAAGGTGACTCTCAAACCAGCCACTTAATCACTGTTTGGTAAAGACTGGCTATCATAATTTCACTTGCATCATAATAAAACCTGTGATTCCTTTGGCCAGTGAATCAGAGGACTGGACTCAGAGGGTGTGCACTGCTCTAAGGCAGTAGTCTTCCTAGGATATTGCTCTTTTTAGGATTGCTCCTCCACAGAGGAGAAAAGTGTGATCAGCTCTTGGCTGAAGACAGTCCAGCTGGTGCTTCAAATGCACAGCAAATGCACAGCAAATGCTTGGTATTTGCTTAAGCCCAAGGAGGAACTAGTTAGTGCTAAGCAGTTCAGTATACATTTCTCAGGTCTAACCAGCATGTGCAGAATAAAGCTTTCATATAAGCTGTAAAAATTCTTCAGCCTTTACAGTCACAAAGGAAACATTTCCAGGCATGAAACAATGTGAAGAGTTACCGGGTGTAGCGACAGCAGCTGAAACAACAGCCCAGAAACATGTGAACTGCCCTGCTTGCTGCTAACACATCGCTCTCTCAGATGTCTACCAAGAAAACTCAAAATCTAGTCACCATTCAGCAGAGGATCATTTCAGCAGCAGCATCCAACTGTTTTGGCTTCAAAAACATGGTACTGCTGCAGGACTGCTCTTGTTCTGTGATGTTAACTTTGGCGAAGGCAACAGCTCACCATTTCTCCTACGTATAAATGTGGACAAAGCTGCGCATCAGCCACACCAATCCTCATGCAAAGTTTAGCCATGAGGTTAGAAGAAGACTTGGGCGATCAAAAAAAGCATTTCATCTACGGGAGATGGAGAAACAGCTTGGATCAAGACCCTGTTTGGAGCTGGCTGCTGTGCTGACTGCACAGCTCTGGCAGTCCTGGGAGTCTGCCCTACTAAATCCCACTCAAGAGCAACCTCAAGTCTCACATGTTACCTTTCCCAGGTCCAGTGCCAGCCGATTTGTTTTGTGCTTGAGATGACCCACTGTAGCCTCCTTTGCTGTAATCTCCAGCTGCCGTTCCCTGCGTTAAGTCATCGTAGCCTGCCGGTGTGTACAAGACAAGGTGTTAAGAGTATGCAAGCAGCTCTGCAGACACGCGGGTGAAAAGCTCAGTGCTGAGCATACCTCCTCCATAGCCGTGCTGCCCGTAGCCACTCGCTTGCTGGAAAGGAGTTGATGCAGTGTTCAGGTTGACTCCGTGCTGCTTAGCAGACGCTGGAGGTACCTGGGCAAAGCAAGGGAACCAAAGGCGCTTTCAGCTGGGGATCGGCAGGCAAAACGCCAGCTCGCTCTGCCATCTAGTGGGGATGGCACCTCCGCCTCATGTGGGAAATCTCTCTGGCGCTGGGAGCACTGGGATGGTATGGGACATGGCCCTCATGCTTCCAGCAGTATTAGCCCCCGGTTTTCTGCTACAGCAGCCTCTCTGATTGCAGTGCAACCCTGCCTCAGAACAGGCTGTGAACCTTTCATGCTCCAACTGTAAAGAGCAAATTCTTACCCACAAACCCAGGAAGGAGCAACCACAGTGCTGTCTCTCCAGAATCGAACAAAACACCAACTCCTGCCTGAGGCTGTTTCATAAAACACAGTCCTACAAGGCTCTAAAAGAGATTCATCCACCCCTCTGTCTGGAGCATGACCGCTTCCTCCCAGGACTACCAGCACTGCTCTCTGACTTCAAGGGGCCTCCTCCATTCTCAGAAGGGTTTCCCAGACACTCTCAGCTCTCTGACTCCACTTTGGGTCTCACCTTGACTCTCCAGAGACTGGTAAGGGCTTTATGGAACACTGAGTCCATGAGCTGCAGCTGCCTGCTATTTACAATAACCTGTGCAGGAGCCCATGAGTTCTAGCCTTTAAATTTCCTGTTTTATTGGGGAAAGGACTGCAGCCATGTTCTCACAGTTGCAGGTTTTCTGAGATCCCTTGTAGACTGGGGAAAACAACAATTCTCTATTCTCATAAGACCCCACCTGGAGTACTGCATCCAAGCTCTAGGGGTTTCAGGACCTGAATGACAAGGGCCTGTTGGGGTAGGTCCAGAGGAGGGCCACAAATACGATCAGAAGGATAGAACATCTCTTCTGTGAAGGCAGGCTGAGGGAGCTGGGTTTGTTCAGCCTAGAGGAGACATGTTACCTTTCCCAGGTCCAGTGCCAGCCGATTTGTTTTGTGCTTGAGATGACCCACTGTAGCCTCCTTTGCTGTAATCTCCAGCTGCCGTTCCCTGCGTTAAGTCATCGTAGCCTGCCGGTGTGTACAAGACAAGGTGTTAAGAGTATGCAAGCAGCTCTGCAGACACGCGGGTGAAAAGCTCAGTGCTGAGCATACCTCCTCCATAGCCGTGCTGCCCGTAGCCACTCGCTTGCTGGAAAGGAGTTGATGCAGTGTTCAGGTTGACTCCGTGCTGCTTAGCAGACGCTGGAGGTACCTGGGCAAAGCAAGGGAACCAAAGGCGCTTTCAGCTGGGGATCGGCAGGCAAAACGCCAGCTCGCTCTGCCATCTAGTGGGGATGGCACCTCCGCCTCATGTGGGAAATCTCTCTGGCGCTGGGAGCACTGGGATGGTATGGGACATGGCCCTCATGCTTCCAGCAGTATTAGCCCCCGGTTTTCTGCTACAGCAGCCTCTCTGATTGCAGTGCAACCCTGCCTCAGAACAGGCTGTGAACCTTTCATGCTCCAACTGTAAAGAGCAAATTCTTACCCACAAACCCAGGAAGGAGCAACCACAGTGCTGTCTCTCCAGAATCGAACAAAACACCAACTCCTGCCTGAGGCTGTTTCATAAAACACAGTCCTACAAGGCTCTAAAAGAGATTCATCCACCCCTCTGTCTGGAGCATGACCGCTTCCTCCCAGGACTACCAGCACTGCTCTCTGACTTCAAGGGGCCTCCTCCATTCTCAGAAGGGTTTCCCAGACACTCTCAGCTCTCTGACTCCACTTTGGGTCTCACCTTGACTCTCCAGAGACTGGTAAGGGCTTTATGGAACACTGAGTCCATGAGCTGCAGCTGCCTGCTATTTACAATAACCTGTGCAGGAGCCCATGAGTTCTAGCCTTTAAATTTCCTGTTTTATTGGGGAAAGGACTGCAGCCATGTTCTCACAGTTGCAGGTTTTCTGAGATCCCTTGTAGACTGGGGAAAACAACAATTCTCTATTCTCATAAGACCCCACCTGGAGTACTGCATCCAAGCTCTAGGGGTTTCAGGACCTGAATGACAAGGGCCTGTTGGGGTAGGTCCAGAGGAGGGCCACAAATACGATCAGAAGGATAGAACATCTCTTCTGTGAAGGCAGGCTGAGGGAGCTGGGTTTGTTCAGCCTAGAGGAGAGAAGGCTCTGGGGAGACCTCAAAGCAGCCTTTCAGTACTTAAAGGCTTATAAGATTATAATTATAAGAAAGATGGGAGAAAAACTTTTTATCAGGCCATGTAGTGATAGGAAAAGGGCAATAGTTTTACAGTGGAAGAGGGCAGGTTTGGGTTGGACAAGGGTGGAGAGACACTGTCACAGGTGTCTGTGGTTGTGGGTGCCCCATCACTGGAAGTGTTCACAGCCAGGTGCGTTGGGGCTTTGAGCAACCTGTTCTAGTGGGAGATGTCCCTGACCATGATGGAAGATTTGGACTAGCTGATCTTTGAAGGTCCTTTCCAACCCAAACCATCTTGTGATTCCAAGGTGTAGAAGGTTTAGGCTGTGTCCTGGTTAGAGCCACGATGAAGCCAATTTTCCTTTTACTGATTTTTTTTCTTCCTTCAGTAAGCTTTCTTTTAACTAGCACCAGAGTGTTCCAACTAAGACTGATAACAATGGAATGTTTTTCTAACTGCTGGGTCTTCAAGGTCACATCTTTACTCTGCTAGCTCAGACACTATGGGGAGATCTGTGACCCCCCCGTAGGAGGCTGAGTTAGACAGACAGCAAAATGGGCCAGAGATATTCCATTCCATACATCTATGTAAGCTCAGAGGAAGGTCAGAGATCACAGAAGACAACTTCCTTCCTGCTTCTTCTTCCCTTCTCTTCCATCCATGGCCGGAATCCAGGGAGGACTCCGTCCAACCATCACTGTCAACCCCCAGGCTCGAGCTCTCCTGACCCTCATCACTCTCCGCTCTTCTCCAGCAGCAGCTCCAGAGTTCTCTGGGACTGTTCACAGCTAAGGAGATGCTGTGGAAGTTGCTGTGGGCCGGTGGGAGGCAAGAGGCTTTTGCACATATCTGAGCATATTTGTATATAATTGTATATATGTTCTTATATTATTAGTGTTTAATTAAAGCTGTGTAGTTTAGTTTTCAATCCAGCCAAGTCTCTCTCTTTTTCTCTCTCTCCTTCCCTACCTGGGTGGGAGGGGGAAGGGATGGAGAATGTTGTCGGATCTGAGTCGAAGGGTGACAGGCTGGAGAGAGCAAAACCAGAGAAGCATGAAGGGAGGGTTACAGGTCAGGCTGTCACACTTACAAACATGGTTGGCCCATACTGGAATGCACTGGGCACGCCAGGCATGCCAGCATAGTAAGGTAACCCCGTGTAGCTGTAGCCTGGAGGCAGGGTGGGGTTGAGGAAGGGTTGCTGAGTCGTGTGGTGAGTCTGTGTCTGGCTTTGCTGCGGCTGGGCGAGCGGGGTAGCAGGAGCAAGGCAGAATCTTGAGTTCTCCTGACCCTCATCACTCTGCACTTTCTCCAGCATCAGCTCTAGGATTTCTCAGGACTGTTCCAGCTCAGGGGGGTGCTGGGGTAGTTGCTGGGGGTGAGGGGAGGCAAGAGGCTTTTGCAGATATCTGAATGTGTTTGTATATAATTGTATATATGTTCTTATATTATTAGTGTTTAATTAAAGCTGTGTAGTTTAGTTTTCAATCCAGCCAAGTCTCTCTCTTTTTCTCTCTCTCCTTCCCTACCTGGGTGGGAGGGGGAAGGGATGGAGAATGTTGTCGGATCTGAGTCGAAGGGTGACAGGCTGGAGAGAGCAAAACCAGAGAAGCATGAAGGGAGGGTTACAGGTCAGGCTGTCACACTTACAAACATGGTTGGCCCATACTGGAATGCACTGGGCACGCCAGGCATGCCAGCATAGTAAGGTAACCCCGTGTAGCTGTAGCCTGGAGGCAGGGTGGGGTTGAGGAAGGGTTGCTGAGTCGTGTGGTGAGTCTGTGTCTGGCTTTGCTGCGGCTGGGCGAGCGTGGTAGCAGGAGCAGGGGAGGCAGAATCCCCACGGCCAAATTTTGTTACATCACCTGCAAGAGGAAGAACTGATCAGAAAAGCTAACATGGAGGATTCCAAAGGGTTCAAATCCTCTGAATACAAGTAGGTAACTACAGAAGAGCGCACATCCTACACTTGAGAGCCTGCAGACCTCTCCCAGTCTCTGTTCCTGATGGCCACAAGGTCTGTCTGCGGCACAGAACTCTGCGCCATGTCTAATTCATTGACAAAATAGAGATACCAATACTTACCTATCTCACGCGGTCTGAGCAGGCTCATTACTACCAGATCATTGCAATAAAACAAGCTAAAGGCAGAAGTATGGTAAATTAGCTGAAGGGCAAATGGTTGTTTGGTTAATGTGTGACTCTCCTGGAGGTTAAACTGATTAGCTAAGCTTCATGGGCAGAAAGCAAGTTAAAATTTACAGGCAGGGATGGGCATATTTTTTGTCAATGTCTGTTTATTTGTCAAGTGACTAGTTAGATGTCCAGTTCCTCACACCACCAAAGTTCTGGAGACAGTAGCTGAAGGCCAGGAAAGCAAGGCTTGCATCGTGGGCCACCTTATTGAAGAAGCAGGAAGGGAAATTCGATTATTAACCCAAAAGCAGCCTTCCAAGAGAAGTGATTATGAAGCAGAAAACTCCCAAACACTTGCACTTTCTGGTAGCCTGTACACATTTTTAGGGAGGTGATATAATCACATCTATCTTGTTCCCAACAAGTATGCCTTTATTTTGGTTACCAAGAAATATGACAACAGGTAATACCTCATTACAGGAACACCTCAATACAGGTAATATACATCATTATAGGAATTATAACAGCTAAGGCTACAGCTTTAAGCTGTAATCAGATGGCAGAGGAAGAAAACCACTGGCTGAAAATTCTGGACGGCATTAATGTCATTTTTCCACACTGATAACTGAAGAGCAAAGAGCAGGAAT